ATAATGTCAGTAGTCTTATCATATTAACTTTCATTACTTAGGTAAGATGTTGCCTGCCACATTTCTCTCCAATAAGGTGACTATTTTTTTTCTTTGTAATTAAGTGATTTGAGAAGAGGTACTTTGAGACCATGTAAATATCTTACTGCTCATCAAAATTTCCCCCTCTAGTTTAGCATGGATGGTTCTTGTTTCAACTAATTACTCCCATACTGGTTATAAAATAGTGATTTTCCACCTCCATCATTTCTGCTTCAGTTATAAATTGGCATTCTACTGTAGGAAGGCGCCTCCCTTCTTATCCATCTAACTAGCTAGCTATCTTTAGCGTGGACACATGTATTCTACTCTCATCATTTACTTTAATATCCAAATTTCCCTAGATTTGGTCAATTGAAATCTCTTCAAACAGATTCCCCTGTCTTTTTTTGTTTTGGTAATGTTGAGAATCAAACCCAAGACTTCTTGAATACTAGGCAAATAGTCTAGCCTGGAGATACATCCCCAGCCCTTCTATGTCCTTTTGACACACCCTCATCCTTTTGGATCACTTTGTAAGATGCTCCTGGCTACATAGTCTACCCAACTATTCCTCCAAATTGACATAGTTCTTTTTGATAGATAGTGGTAAAAGAAGTCAAGACTTGGGTAGTAAACCAATACTTAGGTAAAACTACTTTAATAAATAATTAATGCAATTAATAAAATATTTGTATTATTTTGATAAACATCCCCAGTGTCATCAAATACGAATCCTCTCTGAAGGACTCACCTCATTTAAGACCTCAAAGAAATCCCACAAATAAAATTCCAAAGCAAATTAACATCACTGTCAAAAACAACTAAACACACACGGGGGAAAACACACCATATATAAGAAACCATAAAATAGGCTTACAAGAACCTCTACTTGTTTTTTGTCTTATAGTACTGAATCCAGGGCCCCATACTACTCTACCACTGATCTACTTCCCCAATACTTTTTAATTTGTTTTGAGTCAGAGTCTTGCTGAGTTACCCAACTGGCCTGGAACTTGGGATCCTTCTGTCTCAGACTCTCTCAGGCTGTAATAGTGTGTACTTTTATATCTGGCTAAGAACCTTTATTTTAGATATGTAAGAACTTAGATTAAAAGAAAATTATAAAATTTTACCAAAAGTCACTAAAGAATAATTAACAAATGGAGAGATATATAATGTTCAAAAACTGGAAGGCAATATCATGGGTGTTAATCTCAAAGTAGTCTATAAATTCCACATAATCCCAGTGAAAATCATATTAGGAATTTTTATGAAACTCGAAGTATTGAATCTAAACTTTATACAAAAAATCATCAGGACTTTTTTTTTGGATGGGGTTTTTGCTATGTTGACCATCTGGGCTCCAATCTGCAATCCTCTCGCCTCAGTCACCTAAGTAGTTGGGATTTTAGATATGTGATAATCAAGATACTCTTGAAGGAGGAGACGAAGTGGGTGAGGAGACTTTGTCCTATCAATTATTATTATAATGCTCTAGAAGATAGGACAGATAAATTGACCCCAGTGGACTAGAATAAAGAACCCAGAAACAAACTTATACATTTATGGAAACTTGATATATGAGAGATTTGGCATGGCATGTTACTGAAGAAGTGAGTGAGACAGTTTGGTTAACATACACAAAAGTCAATGCACCAAAGATTGAAAGTGCAAAGAAAAAACTTTATAACCTTTGATGGAGCATTGTATCTCAATCCTGTAATCCCAGCTACTCAGGAGATTGAGACAGGAAAAATGCAAACTCAAGACCAACCTGGGTAACTTAGTGAGACCCTATCTCAAAATAAAATAAAAAATTTTTAAAAAGGGCTGGAAATGTAGCTCACTGATAGAGTGCTTGCCTTTCCTGTGCAAATCCCAAGTGGTGTGCATGTGTGCACACACACATACACACATGTACACAACTGTTCAATCTTTAAAAGCATCTATTAGGTAATATCATCCTCACCTAAGGGAAGGAAGAGAGGAAGGAAGGAAGGACTTTTGAAATATGAAATTAAAAGGGATAAACAAAAGAAAAGATTAATAAGGTCATCAATATTAAAATTAAAAACTTTATCCAAAAGAATAACATTAAGATATGAAAACATAAGCCCTGAACTGGGAAAGGCTACTTGTTAGACACATAACTGATAAAAGATTAAAATCCAGAATATATGAAGAACTACTGTTAATCAACAAAGGAAGAGAGGGAAACAGAGAGACCAACAGCAAATGAACAAAAGACATGAATAAGTAAATCACAGAAAAGAAACATAATGGCAAATCATCCATGAAAAGATGCCCAACCTCATTAGTGATTAGGGACAAGCAAATTTAGATCACAACATGAAAACATTCTGTACACTTGATGAGCAAGAATTAAGAATTAAAAAAAAAATTATTGTTGATGGACTTTTATTTTATTTGTTTGTTTGTTTATATGCAGTGCTAAGAATTTAACCCCAAGAATTAAGAATTCTGCTATTGCAAAGTGGTGCAGATATGAATCAGGGGCTACAATCCACTGCTGGGATATCAACTATTATAACCACTTATGAAAACAATGAAGCACTATTTTATAAAATTGAACATTTACATCCCCTGGGAGATAGCACATTTATCCCTAGATAAGTATCTTAGAAAAACCCTTAAAAATAAACACCAATTCTTTTCAAAATAGCAGGAACAAAACAAAATCAAAGTAAATAAAATGTTCAACAACAGGAAATAAAGTGTAGCTACATAAATCAATGTGGATGAATCCTAGAAACATTGCATGAGAACAAGAGCAAGATACAGAAGACTAAACAATGCAATCCCATTTTTATAAAAGCTCAAAAGCAGGTAAAATAAAATAACATTTTTAAGAATACAAATAAAATGTGAAGATACTATTTTTATTATTATTATTACTTTTTTTTTTTGGTACTAGGAATTGAACCCAGAGGCACTTTGCCACTGAGCCACATCCCCTGCCTTTTTAAAAAATATTTTATTTGGAGACAGGGTTTCATTAAACTGCTTAGGAACTTGCTAAATTGCTGAGGCTGGCTATGAACTCATGATCCTCCTCCTGCCTCAGCCTCCTGAGATGCTGGGATTACAGGCATGTGCCACTATGCCAGGTAAGATACTATTTTTAAAAGGGGTAAGAGAATAGGATCAAAAAATAAAATAAAACAAAATTCAGGAGGACACTGATCCAGTGGAGCAGCCAGTTGATGGAAAAGGTACACAAGTCAATATGGCAATATTAAGTTCTAGCTGTTATACAGGGTAGTAGGTTCATGCAGTTCACTTTATTATGCTTCTTAATCTGTGTCAGCTTTTTCAATCTTTATGCCACTGTCAATCGGGGCTGGATAAATCTTTGCTGTGGGGAGCTATCTTATGCATTGTAGGATATTTAGCAGTATCCCTGGTCTTTCTACCTACTAGATGCTGGTGGCAACCCACCCCACTGCACCCCATACACACAGCCTTGACAACAACAACAAAAAAATGTCTCCAGGCATTGGCAAATGTTCCTTGGGGAGCAAAATTGCTCCTGGTTAAGAATTGCTGATCTACATATGTGTTCTCCATATGTTTGAGTGTTTTAAATATTCTATAATAAGAGCGAGTTTAAAATTGATGGGTAGAAGTTTCACTCTGTGAAACACAACAGGAAGACATCGTTATGAGCTGAGCATGCCTGAGCCTGTTGAAGGCCTTTGAAGTGACAGTGCAGAGCAGGGTAAGCTGACAGTTTCAGAGGGGTTTGACTATCAGGTGATATTTCTAGAAATGGGACCAGATATCAAAAATCCATGACTCTAGATAAACTGGAGGAAATTTTCTGCAAACTTTTTCAATTTGTTGGGAAATCTAAAAGCTTACATCAGCCTTTTAGTGCACTGTTTAATTTAAAAAATATATTGATTTTTAAAAACAAAGCCTGTGTTTATAGAAACCCTTTTTCTAAAGCCTCTTGAAAGAGGTCTGTGCATTTTATCACCTTCGAAGAGTTGACTGTCTAACTGTGGCCCTCAAATGATGGGCTACCTCCAGGAACAACACCCAGAGTGCATAACACCACTGAGGTCCCATTCTCTCCACATACCCCCTTGACCCAAGAGTCACCCTAACAATGTGGTTCTACTTATAGCATCTATCTATCAGGTCCTTATACTTGCACTACAGTTCCATTTAACCCCTGGTGGGGAGAGCTTATGACCCTCATTTTTAAAATGAAGAAACACACAAAAGAAAGATATATGAGTTTTTCAAAATATTAGAATCAAGATTAATTGATTAGAAATAAAGCTGGGTATGGTGGCACATGCCTCTAATCTCAAGCAGCTTAGGAGGCTGAAGAAGGAGGATTGCAAGTTCAAAGCCAGTCTCAGCAACTTAGCGAGGTGTTAAGCAATTCAGTGAGATCCTGTCTTTATATCAAACATAAAAAAGGGCTGGGGGATCTGGCTCAGTGGTTAAGTGCCCCTGGGCACCCTCAAAAAATAAAGAAACAGAATTGGCATGAATATCAGGCCTCCTGGTCTTAGTCTTCATGCCTTTCCCACCAGACTGTGCCCTATGTTTGGGCACTTGTGAGTGTGTGGGTGCAGTTGTGTGTGTTTGTATCTGTCTCTTTGGGGGGTTTATATGTGTTTTTCTGAGGACAAGCTGTTAAGGAGAAAAGGCAAAAGACTGAAATGAGGAGCCAGGAGGAGGGGAGTGGTAGAAGGAGTGTAGAATGCAGAAGATCCCTTGGGCAAGACCTCTCTGGATAGCAGTTTCTTTACCATAAAAACTCATAGACTGATTGCAAAAATCAAATGAGATAATGCATTCGAAACACCTAAGGTCTCTCTATATAAATGTTAGTGACTGTCCTTATTAGATCATTACTTGACATGTATTATAGATGATCAAGCAACCCTCATGGCTGGGTGACTCACATTTTCTTCAATTTCTCGGCATCAGCTAGCTCTTACCATATGTCCAGCTCAGAGGAGTATTCAGTGGCTCCCAGCAAAGCGTCAGGAGGCCGGTACCAGAGGGTCACAACTTCTGAAGAGTATGTCTGGCTAGGAATGGACTTGGCCCGAGCAAGACCTGCCCAAAGGAGGAAAATCATGGAACTCACTGTGGTGACCCTTCTGGGAGACACAATGATTCACTCTACTGGGAGAGTGTGTGAATGGCAGAATAAACAGAATTTTAAAAATAACACACAAACTTTGGGGGATTTTAATAGAAGCACTCAACTCTCTTGACCCTTGATTCTCACCAAGAGGATTTCCCAAAGCTTGACTGCTTTGTAGCTGGGTATGGAATTCCTGGTAGCTAAGTGTGGTCAGGTGACCAAGTTCTCGCCCATATTATGTGAACAGAGATGATGTGTGAGCTTCTGAGTCATGTCCTCATGGAGGAGTGAAGTGTTCTGTCTCCTTTTTCTCTTTCTCTGAGCTGTGATGAGCCTGAAGTGGCAAACACCTTGAAATACACAACTGAGAAAATGTCATGGGAATGGTGGGGCTAAGGACACAAGAAGCCTCAGCGGAGACACCAGGGGCCACCATACAAGCTTGACTGTGTGGTTAGGACTCTTAGCTTCTAGCATGCTACACCTCTATAATTTGTGGTCTCTGCAACAGCAACCAAACTAACTGTGTTTAGGACTAATATGTCTACCCTCGATTTTTGCAGGAACCCCCAGTTTCATAGGTAAATGATAGGGACTGATGATCCAAATTATTTCATTTATTAGGACCTGAAATAATTTTCTCTCAAGCACTATTCTACAAAATGACAGTATTTTTGTCAGCTGCTTATTTCACATAATTATATGATTTGTAATTGGGAAAAAAAACTTAAAAGAGGAGTTCACTGTTGTAAAGAAGTAGTAAATGAATTTCTGTTAAATGCTTATGTGTCAAGATGAATGCTACTACCTCATAATAAAATCCTGCAGCTACAGCACTACCATTTGACATTTGTCAAACAGAGAAGAGTGGTTCCTCCACTCTCATGGAATCAGTTTGTCAACAAGCATTTATTGAGCACCTAGTGTGGTACAGGGCAGTAGGGATAAAATGATAAGCAAATCTAATCCCAGCTGCCCTCATAATGCTTATGCTCTAGTGGAAGAGAAAAAGCTACATGTATGTACATTTGTGTATGGGCATGTGTGTGTATTCGTGTGTACGTGTGTGTGTGTGTGTGTGTGTGTATGTGCATGCATTGGTATGTGAATATAATTATGAACTGTGATAAATGCTAAAATGGAAAGATAATAGTGATACTCAGAGGAAATCTGTCACTTTGATGAGAACACAGTCACACTTCTGTAGATACTTAGGTGAGCAGGAAAAAGTGTCCATTCCTGCAAGAGTCCGTGCTATAGTCTGGAGGTAACCTCTTTATCCTGGGATAACCTTGATCTATTCTAACAGAATTTGTAATATCCACTCAGATGTAGGGAAACCTACTGAGTAGAGTCTACTCTGCCAATGCCACTATATTAAAAAATGGCAGCAAGGGTGTAGGGGATGCCTAAGTTTTGGGGCATCTGACTAGATTTGGGCTTGACGGAATCCTAAGAAGCTGTTGATCTCCACTCTCTCTCTTGCCTCACACTTCCTGGATGGTAGTTATCTGATATCCTCATTGGGCATCTCCTTCCCAGCCCCCAAGTTTTCAAAGGCCTGGACTAGTCCATATACACAAAAGCATCATTGTTCACAGACCAGAAAAAGACCTGAGGGGCGACTTACCGAAATCAGCCAGTTTGAGCTCTCCCAGGTGACTGATGAGCAAGTTCTGAGGTTTCAGGTCCCTGTGAAGGACGTGTTGGTGGTGGATGTACGCCAGGCCCCGCAAAAGTTGAAACATGAAAAGCTGGAAGGAATGAACACCAAACCTAAGGACATTTGAGCCACTATGTGTTGACTTCTCCTCTAAATCAAAAACAGGCATCTGAAAGAATATAGTGGAAGTGTCTCTTGAGAGAGAGAGAGAGAGAGAGAGAGAGAGAGAGAGAGAGAGAGAAAAGGACTTTACATTTATTCAGAGGGAGGAAAAAAAGGATAAAGAAAATCTAGTAACTAGACCACATCCTAAACAAAGGGATTCTGGCTTCTCCTGACATCTCATTTCTTTGACACTGCAGGAATTACCCTTCCTTAAAAATATAAAGCCAAACTTTGAAGTTTCCCTTGGAACACTAGTTATTGATTTAGATGTGAAAGATATAATATTCCCCCCACCAATGAATTTGGCATATAAGATCAAAGTTGACCTGGAAATGATATTCTAAAGTTTTCAATTATGAAAGTTTTCCAGATTCTGATATGAAACCCTCTTTGAAACACAATGCAAGGAGACCTGGCTGGGAAATAGATCCTTCGATGATGTTAGGAAAGAAAGGAATCATTATCTTTTTAAACTTAATTTTAAAGTCTTAAATTCAAAGCTAAAAATCTATACATAGTACAGATTAAGAAGGAAGAGAGACCAAGCGAAATGAACCCCCCTCCAAAAAAATCAAAAGAAAATAAGGAATCAATAGTAGGGAGAAGAAAGGAGAAAGAGTGGTGGTACTGGTGGAAAAAGCAAAAATTCATTCCAGGCCACAATTTTAAAATGTTTCACATGGAGGCCAGAGGTGCAGCTCAGTGGTAGAGTGCTTGCCTAGCATGCACGAAGCCCTGGGTTTCATCCTCAGCACTGAAAACAAATTTTTTTCCCTTGTGATTGTGAAGCACAGAAACCAAAGACATTACTAAATTCCCATCGATGTAAAAGCTTACAAGGAAAAACTAATGTGTCTCTTGCTATTTTCCAGTGCCACTGGCAATGAGAATCCAAACACCAACATCAGTGTTTACAAAGATCTCTGCCAACTGGGAACATGTTCTAACAGTTTAGAAAAGAAAAGGCCAGGCCCAGCATTCCTGGGAACACAGGCAAAATGGCATCTGCAGAGGTGTGTGGATAAATCCACTTTTCTCGTGGCAATTTGAAAACTAGGAACTTCAGAGCTACTAGGAGCAGGGCTAACCTAACAATGACATGGAGACATTGGAGCCAAGTTAATGAGCAGCATGGTCCAACCAAAGCAGGAGACAGGCAAGCTTATATGCCAGTGTATCTGAATCTCTCTATATAATAGATATCTGGGGATATGGGTCTGTGGTAGAGCATTTGCCTGGCATGCTTAAGGCCCTGGGTTCATATCTAATACTGAAAAAAAAAGTTAGAAATTTCTTGGGCTGAGAATGTAGTTTAGTGCTGAAGCACTCATCTAGCATGTATGAGGCCCCCAGCACCACCACCCTCCAAATTTTTTTTTCATATGACTCTTTCTTCAAATGTTCACTGTTCCTATGAGTCTTTCCAACACTTTATGTTTCTGGTACCTCAATTTACCATTTACCAATAAGCTACTAAAGCACAAAATTCCTATGCTAACATTCAAAACTTCCAATTGGTATAAATAGAAATTTTCATAGACAAGACAATAAAAAGAAGCAATTTGAAATTTTAGGCAAAAGATAAGGTATCGTAGTATGCTCTTTCAATGAGAAGGGATGAAGGAAAGAGGGAGATGAAGACAGGTGAGAGACAGTAGATAGGAATATGGTGGCCAGAGAGCATTCCAGCCTTTGGAAGACAACTTGTCCTCAGTTTACAGATAAGAAAACCAGGACTCAGGAAACTTTAAAAATATGTCTAGAGCAGGGCACAGTGGGTGTATGCCTGTTATCCCAGCCACTGGGGAGGCCGAGGCAGGAGGATTGAAAGTTTGAGGCCATCCTAGCAAGACCCTGTCTCAAAATTTAAAAATAACAAGGACTGGAGATGTAGCTCAGTGGAAGAGTATGCTGAATTCCTCCAGTGCCAGGGAGAAAAAAAAAAATGTCTAGGAAGAGTCTAGAAACTAGACACAAGGCAAGGCACAGACTCAAATTCAGGACTGCCTGACTCCACTATACCAACCTGAGAAAAGACAGGAAATTAAAACATGACAAGAAGGAAAGAGTCAGCTGGCTGAGTCAGAGACACAGCTTCTTGGTGGGTCAGCTTGAAATGCCTTTCATGTCCCAAGTGTAGACAGGTCTCACTAATTAGTTACACCCACCTCCTACCTTCTTGCTGCTCAGCGCCTTGCTTCTCTGCCTCTTCAGGTACCTCTAAGCATTGTAAATGGCAAAGCCCTACGGCATCAAGGTATAGTATTTTGTAGCCACAATTCTTAAAACTGCAGTGTGTGCTGACTAAGCTCACCACCCACTCACTCTTTCATCCTTCACAACCTGGATTCTTCCTTCAACAATTACTCCATCATTGCTATCGCCAAATCCTATGGGGTTTTCTCAAAGTCAAGCCAGACCGTGGGCGACTCTTTCCAAAGAGACTTCCCATAGCCCACGGGTTAGACCTGTTTCCAACACCGTAAGGTTTGAGGGGAACAAAATAATTCCACTGGGCTAGTGCCATCTGGGCTAGAGTCCCTCAAAACCATAATTGAATCATTTAGCCTGCTATGTGCAGGGAAGCCTGCCTCCTGCCACTTATCAGGGTCCCTAGGACTCATACTAAAAATCTAAAAAAGAATGTCATTTTGGGGGGGGATGGGAAGTACCAGGGATTGAACTCAGAGGCACTCGACCATTGAGCCACATCCCCAGCCCTATTTTGTATTTTATTTACAGACAGGGTCTCACTGAGTTGCTTAGCAACCTTGCTGTTGCTGAGGCTGGCTTTGAACCCATGATCCTCCTACCTCAGCCTCTTGAGCCTCTGGGGTTACAGGAATGCACCACAGTGCCCAGCAGCTATCATGTTTTGACATGGAGAGTGGCCCAAAGCTTCATGTATTGAAGGCTAGTCCCTAATACAGTGATGTTCAGATGTGGGGCTTTGGGGAAGTGATTGGATTACAAGGGCTCTGATCTCATCCATGGATTAATGGATTAATTGGATGGGCTCATAATTGAATGGACTACTGGGAGGTAGTGGAAACTATGGGAGGTGGGGGGCTACTTGGGGGAAATGTGTCACTGGGGGCATGACCTGGAAGGGTATATTTTGTTCTAGATCTCTCTTTCTCTCTCTTTTCCCTGTTTCCATGAAGTGAGAAGCCTCTTCCACCACATTCTCCCACTATGATGTTCTGCATTACCACAGGCTCCCTGACCAAAACAACAACACAAAAACCCCAAAGGCAAGTGACCATGGACTGAAACCCTGAGCCAAAAATCTTTCCTCCTCTGAATTGATTGTCCCAGGTGCTTTGTTACAGTGACACAAAGCTGACTAACAAAGGCAAATCACTAGGATTCCACCCTGTTTTTCTTGGTCACTTTTCAATATGTAAGTCTCTAACTATTGCCTTCTCTCCTATAACCTCATCTCCATATGGCTCTGCTTTTCCTGTCACCGAACCCAGTATCTGTTGCTCTTTTCTTTTCCGAACCATTTCATTCTTTACTCTTTACTCCTCAATCCTGGTTGCAAACACTCCAAAGACTAAGCTCTAATGATTTTTTTTCTGCCTCCTTTCCTTCAATGAGATGTGAGTTCACTGCTTCCTTGCATTATTCTCTAGTAGATGCTAGTTTTTCTTTACTTTTCATTTTTTTTTTAGATTTATTATTGAATTTTTTCTTTTCTTTTTTTTTTTTTTATTTTTTATTGTTGGCTGTTCAAAACATTACATAGTTCTTGATATATCATATTTCACAATTTGATTCAAGTGGGTTATGAGCTCCCATTTTTACCCCATATACAGATTGCAGAATCACATCAGTTACACATCCATTGATTTACATATTGCCATACTAGTGTCTGTTGTATTCTGCTGTCTTTCCTATCCTCTACTATCCCCCCTCCCCTCCCCTCCCCTCCCCTCCCCTCCCCTCTTCTCTCTCTGCCCCCTTTACTGACATTCGTTTGTCCCCCTTGTATTATTTTTCCCCTTCCCCTCACTTCCTCTTGTATGTACTTTTGTATACCTCTGAGGGTCTCCTTCCATTTCCATGCATTTTCCCTTCTCTCTCCCTTTCCCTCCCACCTCTCATCCCTGTTTAATGTTAATCTTCTTCTCATGCTCTTCGACCCTACTCTGTTCTTAGCTACTCTCCTTATATCAAAGAAGACATTTGACATTTGTTTTTTAGGGATTGGCTAGCTTCACTTAGCATAATCTGCTCTAATGCCATCCATTTCCCTGTAAATTCTATGATTTTGTCATTTTTTAATGCAGAGTAATATTCCATTGTGTATAAATGCCACATTTTTTTTATCCATTCATCCATTGAAGGGCATCTAGGTTGGTTCCACAGTCTAGCTATTGTGAATTGTGCTGCTATGAACATCGATGTAGCAGTGTCCCTGTAGCATGCTCTTTTTAGGTCTTTAGGGAATAGACCGAGAAGGGGAATAGCTGGGTCAAATGGTGGCTCCATTCCCAGCTTTCCAAGAAATCTCCATACTGCTTTCCAAATTGGCTGCACCAATTTGCAGTCCCACCAGCAATGTACAAGTGTACCCTTTTCCCCACATCCTCGCCAGCACTTGTTGTTGTTTGACTTCATAATGGCTGCCAATCTAACTGGAGTGAGATGGTATCTTAGGGTGGTTTTGATTTGCATTTCTCTGACTGCTAGAGATGGTGAGCATTTTTTCATGTACTTGTTGATTGACTGTATGTCCTCCTCTGAGAAGTGTCTGTTCAGGTCCTTGGCCCATTTGTTGATTGGGTTGTTTGTTCTCTTATTGTCTAATTTTTTGAGCTCTTTGTATACTCTGGATATTAGGGCTCTATCTGAAGTGTGAGGAGTAAAGATTTGTTCCCAGGATGTAGGCTCTCTATTTACCTCTCTTATTGTATCTTT